AAAACAAGATTATCACCGTAAAATAACAATTTTTAATTTACATATCATGACATCAAAATATGGACAGCTTTCACTGACAATACTTATTAAAGATAATTTTAAGCGTGAAAACTGTCCATATTTTGATGTCATGATATGTAAATTAAAAATTGTTATTTTACGGTGATAATCTTGTTTTCTTGTGCCCAATAATGCATAATTTCATTTGATAAACACGTTTAGATTGAATGGTAATTTATAATCAGTCACAAGAACGTCGAATCTGAATCACTTGAAAAAACACGGGGGTGCTTAACTTTTTTTCCAGGTGTATATATAACCAGAGTATAGAAGTTAACATCATCTCCTCATTATACGTAAGTTTATATATAATCAGAGTGTAGAAATTAACATCATGTCCTCATTATAATTCGTCAGTTTAAACGGAATCACTGGCGGAATAGTAGATAATTTATTGGCAATGATTTCGTGAAAGTAGCATCCACAGGATTAGTGCCATGAATATTTTGATCCGCAAATAAATTAAATCAGTTGCTACACAACAAAACATTTTATTTATTTAGTAGTAAATCACTTGTATTAAAAGAACATGGACTATTATATTCAGTATAAATTACTTGTAAATAAACGGTGCAGTCAGAGTAACAAGAAAACTAAGCGCAGGTATGCATGATTGTAGACATGGGATCGTAGGGGATATAGTTACATATTAGTGACTATGCAGTTGGAGTTAGACTACTGACCGAAGTTTACATATTATATCGGTGTTTATTTGGTAATGTAATGGAAACAAAGCTTGAAACACATAACTACATTGGACTGGGATAAAAATGTGTATTATTCTAAATCCATCTAGTTAGTTAATTGCTTAAGTAAAAATATTTGTCGTAAACATTATAGATGCAATAATTAATAAAACACAATATTTCATAGTCGTGTGTCTTGAGCCAAAGTTGGAAGTGAATTAAGCTTGTCAGAAGTGCGCATGCTTAAACATGGGCAGGTAAAAACAAAATAAATTTGGGAACATGCTTGTCCGCAAAATATGGTAATTAGAGTGACGATTTTTGTGCAGTGGGGCAAAGGTATGATGTAGATCAGGGAAAATACAAGAAAAAATAATGTGAAATAAACAGTTTAATTTTGTACTTTAATATCTTTATCTTTCCCCATTACCAAATTGATTTTAGAATACTTATCTGTTTATAAAGAGTCGCTACTTTGGACCGAAAACTCAAGTAAAGTCGTTAAAATGAAGGTGAAGTGGGTGCTGACCTCCCTTATTCGGCTTCCGACCTTTATTTTTTTCAGTCAAGTTTAAGTAATAAAACAAACGACTGTTTCATAAAAAAATCATTTAATGATTTTTTTACTAAACTTGAAATTGCCCCAAAATATCTTATTTGTGTAATTTTGAATAAAAAGCTCACACACACTAATAAAGAGTAATTAGTATATTCATACATATATATGTCAATCATCAAAAATTGGTGAAACAGTAATTATGCAACGTGAACTACTGTTGAATGGCAGCACTTCTGGGCAGACTTGCATCGTTTCATGATAGAGTTAAACAGGCTTCTTAATCTCCTGAAGATATTTCGTGTCTTTAACACACATCTGTAAAAATACCATGAAAGCTTCCAGGTACAGAAGACTCGGTTTTAAACTCTGAACGTCCGAGTTCTTTCATTGACTTGCCATCCAAAATCAATATCCCTATTCTATTTTCGTTCTCTTCGTGAAGTAGAGAGGATAAAACGACACCTGAGAATAAATGAGACGCATAAGACACGTGGTAAGTCCTGAAGTCGTAATCTGTTCAATTAGTATTTAGTGCATCGAAAAGACAACTGTTATATTTATGTCTAGTGCATCACGAATTTTAAGTTCTAACGCAGACTAAGTTCGCCGAAACATTCAACTTCGAAATATATAACAAAATACTGCTTAATTTCAAGAAACGAAAAGTACAGGATCTCTGTTGGCGGATAGGGGGATTCTGAGCTTTGGAAGATAACAATTTAATTATTGACTAAATTAAATATAAGTTCACAATTCAACCCTAGCAGTCTTAAAATTAATTACTGGGTTGAGTTGTGGACAACAACTGTGTGTCGTTAATAGTTCCTTGAGGATTATATTGAGACTTATCTGACGTGTGTCGTTAATAATGATTGGAAGATGACACTAAGAATTATTTGACGAATGTCGTTAATAATGCAAGGAGGATGACACTGAGACTTACTTGACATGTGTCCTTAACAATGCTAAGAAGATGACACAGTGACTTATCTGATGTGTATCGTTAATAATGCGAAAAAGATAACTCTGATATGTAGCAAAACAAAAAACGTTCCGTTAATGGCTATAAATATAACACTGACTCTTTGCCCACATTTGACAACTCTCCTATGTCATTAGCGAAGCTATTTAAATACTTTTTATACACTCAATTTTTTTTTTACTATAATAAGATATTCTTTCGCTTTGCAAAAGTTTACATAATGAGGGAATACAGCTAATTATAAAGTTTACATAATGAGGGAATACAGCTAATTATAAAGTTTACATAATGAGGGAATACAGCTAATTATAAAGTTTACATAATGAGG